CAGCCTCCCAAAGGCGCGGGATTACAGGCTGAGCCACCGAGCCCGGCTAGAAGTCCTAATCTTTATCAGAGTAAGAATACAGTCACATCAAGCTGAAAGGAAAAAAGATATGAGGCTTTCATTTTCTGTTTTATCAGTACACTGGTTTTGAAAGTACAAAGCAGATGTAAATAATGTGTTAATTTTATTCATTCACATAAATGATGGAGGAAACATGCGGCACTTTGCCATTTCACTGCCTTTTCTTTGGTACTCTATTTCACTGTTATGGTCTACAACTCCACATTATTTGATTAATATTTTATAGCACATATACATTAATAGTCTATTAAAAACTGTGACATGGTATCACATACAGTAATAATATAGTTAAATGTAACTTATGGCAATGAAAATGTAAACACTGGCTATGATCAGTAATGGAATACTTAGGCAGAAGTAAAACTAGATGGTAACATCACAAATACTTGATGCTATAATTTTTCTTGAGTATCTTTTCGAATGATGTCAATCTTTGGGCTCATATTTGAGAAAAATAGTATCATCAAAATACAACAAACTGGCTGGGCTTGGTGGCTCAGCCTGTAATCCCAGCACTTTGGGAAGCTGAGCTGAGTGGATTACCTGGGTTTGAGACCAGCCCGGGCAACTTGGCGAGACCTCATCTCTACAATAAATCAAAAAAATTAGCCGGGCATGGTAGCATGTGCCCATGGTTCCGGCTACTTGGAAGGCTGAGGCGGAAGGATCGCCTGAGCCCAGCAGGTAGATGCTGCTGTGCCATGAGTCTAATTTGTCTAGTCATCTAATTGGCTTTCAAGCCTGGGTGATGGAGTGAGAGTCCAACTCAAAAACAAAACACACACACACACACACAAACACACACAAAACAATAAACAAAAATTTTAACAATAATTTTTAAAAGAGTTCTAATAAAAAAAATCCAAGTCATGTAAAGCTATTGTTAACGCCTTCTGGATGAGGTGACAATTAAGGAAACTTTGTAGAATAAGAAAGGTGCCCTTACGGCAAAAAAGCCTACCCTAGTTGAAGAAATCTTGGAATTTGTATATTATTAGAAAAATATGACCAGCGCAGTGGCTCAAGCCTGTAATCCCAGCACTTTGGGAGGCCAAGGCAAGAGGAATGCCTGAGCCCAAGGGTTCAAAAACAGCCTGGGCAACTTGGTGAGCCCTCATCTCTACAATAAATCAAAAAATTAGCCAGGCATGGAAGCGCATGCCTGTAGTTCCAGCTATTTGGAAGGTTGAGGTGGAAGGATTGCCTGAGTCCAGCAGATTGACGCTGGGGTGGCCATGAACATGCCAATGTACTCCAGCCTGGGCAACAGAGTGAGATTCCAACTCAAAAAAAAAAAAAAGAAAGAAAAATATTTTATTTTACATTAAAATTCAAGAGCAATTATATAATGTTGTCATATACTGAATCTGAAAAGTATGATGAAAATCCTTAACTGTCTACTGAAATTATTCTTTTGACCATTATGTGATTTCATATAAAAAGCAAATTCAACTGTATGTCCTTCAAGGACATCAGAGTGACAATATCAAAGATTCTTCTGAGCTGGTATTTTACATTTGAAAAGTCTAGACAATTATTTGTGCATGTGCTATTTGCCCACATAAGTGAACAACTTACAAAGTGATCATACCTCTTCAATACCAGCTATATTGTTCACAGCCAGCTTTTTAAGAGAACTTTGAAGCTTTTTGTCATCAGCTGTAGCTGTTCTGTGTACCACCTTCTTCTTTCTGCGAGCTGTACCCTGAAAAATAACCAAACACAAGTGTTAGTATGCCTAGCATCTGGCAACTGCAGTTACATCTTCCTATACGGCACACAGTGTCTGACTAACAGTAGTGTTTAATAAGACAGCTCAGAAGATGTTATTGTCAGCCTAACCCAGATTTTTGAAAGTCAGTTCTAGTCAGTTCTTATTCTTATCTAATATCCAGTCTTTATCATTTCAACAGAAGATATAGTTTGCTAGTAAAACATAATTTATAACTTCAAGACAATTTAATGTACTTTATAACAACTTACAAACATTGTCTCCATATAGTACCTACCACCTCCTGCCAATAAAGTTTAAAGATAATTTGAAACTTTGAGAATTGACATAATTGAAAATTAAATGTCTACTATGTAAGTATTCTAAAGTCTGAGAATTCAGAAATGAAAAAGATCAAATTATTCAAGGAATATACATTACAGGAGAAAAAAAGTCAATAGATACATAATGAATTAGATAAATTCAAACAGGATAAGTATTATTAAGAAAACAAAAACAGAACACAGTAAGAGTGACTAGGTGGAAGTAAAGCACTACTTTATTAGAATGTCCAGGGAAGCCCCTCTGAAGAGGTGACATGAGTTGAAACCACAACTAGGGGAAGAATGGAGCAATTCTGGTGGAAGTGGAAGAGTGCTCTGGCAACAGAGGTTGTGCCAATATCTAGTTGCTGAAGGATGACTATTTAAATGGTCATTTATTTGTGAAGGATTCCTGACTCAGGGAGAGCTCAATTGCTTGCTGGATACATCAACTCACATGATCCTCAGGCACTTCAAATTCAATGTCAAAAAGCTTATCAGTCTACCAATCTAGTCTTTCTATATTTCCTAAGTTTTGTAATTGGTGGTACTACCATATACATATACCCAATCTCTAAAACCATAAATCTGAGGGTCACCCTAAACTCTTCTCCATGCCCTTTACCATCCATATCCCACTAGTCATTAAGTCATGTCAATCCCAATCCCTTCATGTCTGATATACTACAGCAATAGTTCTTAATTGTTCTCTATGTCATACTTCCATTTCATTCCATTTTCTACAATGCCAGCAGTTACGTTTCTAAAATGGCTGAATTTCCTTCTTAAAATCCTTCAATAGTTTCCTACTACCTATAGGTAAAATCCCAAGCTCCTTAGTATGGCATATAAAAATATGACAGAACCCCAAACTATCTGGTCATTTTGTTTCCTGCCATACTTCATCCATTATATACTCTAAGCTCTAGCTGTACCAAACAAAACCATGTCATTCCATTAAGTACCATTTTATCTCAGCACCCTATGTGTCTCTGCGTGTGGGGGAATGTTAGTCCCCTTTCCCCCTACCTCCATGAACTCTCTTGCCTGTCTGCCTAGTGATAAATTCTTGCTTGTCCTTTAAATAAGAGCTCAGCAATTACTTCCTTGTCTCTCCTAGGCAAGAGCACTTTATATGTCATTTTAACAGTCATTATTCTGCATTGTTATTGTGAGCATGTCGCTTTTCCAAATGGAGAGCTGCGTCAAGAGAAAATTTTGACTTATTAACTATATGCCTGGCACACAGTCGGTGTTCAATAAACAGTAGCTAAATGAGTGTACCCACCACTAGTTTAAAAATACATAATGTGATGTGCTGCATCAATCTCTTCCAGGTATATTCATTCTATAGTTCTTGAACATCCCTAGTTTTTGCACTGATACACTGCATCACGCTTGATGCTACAATGTGACTACTGTAGCTACCTGAGTGCATTAATGACTCCAGAGTCATATAACTGTATCACTATGAAAGAACAAGAAAGTACTATTCACTTCCAATCTCTGTGCCCATCCCCAGAAGCTGTGGTTACCATCAATGTAAATGACACAGTGGGGCCTACTACATAAAGTAGTGTCCTACCTAATGCTGGATCTAAGGTAAGTACTGTTCTTTCTTTTCCTTTTGCAAAGAATATATTGGGCAGAGATAAGGATGGTATAGTTTCCTTGAACCTAGAGACACAGCTGAAGGGAATCTAAGTTTTTTGGTGTTTGGAATAACTTCTTCCTTAGGCTCTGAAGTACATGGGATAAGAAAGCTTATGTTCATATTCACCAACATGGAAAACAGGTAGGAATTTAGGAGAAAAACCTAGCAGTGAACAAAAATACGATCAGTTTGAGCACTCCAGTTAAACCTCTTGTAAAACTCACTAAATAATTAGGTACATTCCATTCAAGATGAACTAACTCTAACATCTGGTATGCCCTGCAGGTGAGTATATCATAATAATAGCCAAGATTTATTAAGCATCTACTCTGTGCCAGACAGCACATTAGGTGTTTTATAAGTTTCTTTTCTTTTCTTTTTTTTTTTTGAGTTAGAGTCTCACTCTGTTGCCCAGGCTGGAGTGCAGTAGCATGCTCACAGCCACCCCCAGCGTCTACTTGGTGGGCTCCGGCGATCCTTCTGCCTCTGCCTTTCAAGTAGCTGGAACTACAGGCGCGCACTACCATGCACAGCTAATTTTTTGGAGACAAGGTCTCACCATGTTGCCCAGGCTGGTCTTGAACCTGTAGATTCAAGCAATCTTTTTGCCTTGGCCTCCCAAAGTGCTGGGATTACAGGCTTGAGCCACCATGCCCGGCCTTTTATAAATATTACCCTAATCTTTAGAACCATCTTATGTAAGATTATTTCTATCTTGCATATGAGAAACGGAAGCTTAACAAAGTTGGGCAACTCGTTCATGTCACATAGCTAGCAGACATTAAGACTTAGAATCTAAACAAAGGTGGCTATTTTCATTGCACCATCAGAGAGAAAAGTCTTCTAGTTATCCATTTTAGATCTAGACAAGTTATTTCCAAATTGAAATGTGGTTTGATCTTGATTATTGAAGATTTTAGATTTTCAATGACCACAAATCCAAAATAATACTATCTGGTAATCATACATTCTCCTATCAGTTTTTCTTATGCCACACTCACCTTGCCCCCTATCCGGACCTGAGCCTGAAGTTTGGCTAACTTTTCTTGATTCATGCTGTTGGTAAATCTAGGGGGGAAAAATAGATTTGTTAAAGTCATTGTTTTACCAAAATTAAAAAACTGTTTATGCAAACAGTACCTCTGGTTCACTGAGCTTGCAGTAAACATCAACCCCATGATCATATTAATACTGTCTATAATCTTAATAAATAATTTGTTCTAGCTTCATAAACCAGATATTTTAAAAATCAAAATTAAATTACAATTAGGGAGTCGAAAATACAAACAGAAAATAGAATGGGATTCAAAGTCACCTATTTGAAGATATCTCCTTAAGACATGATTCAGTTCTTTGGCATTCAGTTAAATCTAACCAATTATGAAATCTTTGTAGGCAAGCCAGTTTTTCCCCCAAAGATTTTTTTTTTTAACAGCAGAGAGCTGTTACCAAATGTCATTAGCAAAGTCTTCAAGTAGATTTTCTTTCTCCCAAATCACATTCTATATTGTCTATAAACCATACAGATGACAAAAAGAAAAAAAAAAGCCAAACAAAGAAGAAATTCAACAATAGGCTGTCTGTCAAGATATCAGGTAGTCATGTCCTCTATACAAGGTCAGATGGTGTGTTAATAATGAGGAAAGAGAACCAGATTTTCAGACATGTGGCATTTCTGTGGCACTCTCCCAAGTTCATTCAATACCTTGCACTGATATAGTGTGTCATACTTGTCAAGATATTCTTGCAAATAAGGGTATAATGTTTCACTGCACAATTTAACAATAACATATCTCTGCTGCATTAATACTAAATTGGAGGGTAGGGAAGACTTTACAATAAGCTTTTTAAAGCTAATCTTGATTTTGAAAACCTTAAGAACACTATAAAATCATGAATCTAAGTCTGATCAGTGATAGCCCTAAGGAAAAAAGTTCTTTAGTTTATAATGGGCTGTAACATTCCACATTATATAAATAAATAAAAGCCAATTTAAAAGTCTTGTTTTACTTGTTCTATGTGTCAGGAAATTATTACTGAGATGCAAGGGAGGGAATAAGGGACTAGGTTGTTACCAAACCTTTAGCCAATTCTCTAATCCCGTATAATCATCACTGATGAAAAAAGATACTGTTTTCTTCACTTGAAAAACTGAAAAGAGAATCAAAGACTATAAATTACTAACCATTTTGTACTCTGACACTTGCTTAGGCACTAAGCTGTATGCATCTCTTCTTTAAGGCTAAAGTTCAGTCCCCAAATAACATTGAAAATGTATGATTCCTCACTCTTTGCTCAGCACTGTATCACAATGCTCAAGCAGCTAAAAATACTGTTTTATAGGAGGAAATATGTTTAGAGTCCAAAACAAGAAGTCTTAGGTGTGTGCCAATGTTAGCTCTGCCACAGACTTAAATTTGTTAACATAAATCCAAATCTCTATACTAAAATATCCACAGGAAAGGGCCAATATCCACCCTCCTCAAAGGAAAGTGGTCCTGAACATGTAGTAAGCTAACAAAGAGCCTAAATAATTTCTTGCAAAAAAAAGGAGGCTAAGGGAAAATATTAGAACTAGACACAGGGCAAACCCTTCAGGACTCTACTGATTTTTGAAGTAACAATCCCCAAGAGAAGAGATGGAGGTTGAGAAGTCAAGACAAAGAGTCTTGACTTGTTTGAAACAAAAACAAGAGCAAAATTAACTCTTTAAATCATGTGCAGATGAAAGAACGCAGTCCATTCCAGGTGGTCGGGACAAAGTAGTATCTCTGAGAATAAGGATTTAGAGAGGCTGGTGGTCTTTTGTTTATTAAAGTTGGTGTATGTGGAATTCAAATAGGAAAGGGGAACGGATTCAGTCTATGAGAAGAGATGTCAAGCTCAGAATCTGGAGTAGATTTCAAAGATTACCTGGTTTAATATCCTATTCAATCAACCTTTACTGTACCCATCATTACTATCATATGTGAGGTCATCTCAATATCTGCTAGCAGCAGCATGGTATAAATGATTAACAAAACAGTCACCTCTTTCTCGATTTAATAGATTAGGAAATGAGGGCTCAGAAGGGAGAAGTCTTTTACAATACCCTAAAGGGAGAAGTAACTTCCTAAAGCCACATGATTTAACGAGTTCCTCCCTGGGGAATCCAAGGATCTTTTAGCACTCTTCTCAAGGACTCAAGAAAGTGTTTAAACAATGAGGTTAATCTATATTTATTGAGTGCCTAAATTACAAGCATTGTGGTAGGCATACATCTTGTTTACGCAGAGATAAAAAACAATTTTAACCTTTAGTCCTGAATTTTTATTATGCAGGGTTTGTCTCTAAGCAAAGCACAGCCTTTGGAATCAGAAAGACCACTTAAAGGCTTTGGAAAAAGATATTTTTCTTCTCTGAACTTGTATTCCTTCTGCATTAGGAAAAGATAAACCCCACAGACTTCTCAGGGTTCTTTTGAGGTTTAAGAGATTATCAAGCCAGGGTATGGCTCACAGAAGATACCAACTGGCAACACTGTTACCACTCCCGAGGGGACCGATATGGTAAAGTGCAAGAACGTGGGAACGGAAGTTGAAACTGACATGCACCAGCTGTGTAATGTTGAGCCTGTGGGTCAATCATCAGGCAATGTGAGGGGGTTGTAAGATGGGCAAGGCAATGTCACAAAAGGGAGGCAGACTCGAAAACAAATGCTGCCATTTACAAAGTGAAGAGCGCTGCACCTGAGCTCGGTCCCCAGGGCTTGGGGGTGGGAGATGCTAATCTCAGTTTCCCTATCTGTAGACTGGGTTGATCAAATGAAATGACAACAGATAAAATGTATAAAGCTCAAAGCTCACAACACTGTTGTTGTGAAGAGAGGAATGGGATAGAGGAGGGGGGCCACCCGCCTCCTGGGACTGGATCTGGGCGGCAACAGCGCGGGCCTGCTCGCCCCCATAGCGGGCGGTGGTGCTGGGGACCTTCCCCCAGGTGCCGACCCCCAGCTGCGCCGCCGGTAACCGACAGGCCAAGCCAGCCGCCTCCGCCCCCACTCGCCGCGCCACGGCGGAAGTGGCAGCTCGAGCGGTTGGCGGGTGTCGGAAGAAGAGGGCGGGGGGACACCGTGCGCAGCGGCCTATGGCCGTGGAGTGGCGGGACCGCCGGGGGTCTCACCTGAAGCAGGGAGGATCCTCCAACACCGGCACGCGGCAAGAGCAAGATGGCTGCCTCGGCCGAGACAGAGAAAGACGGCGGCGGCGGCGGGAGCGGGTCCACGTGACACAGCGGCCCCGCCTCTCCCTCTCCGCAGCGGCCTATCCCGGGGGCGCGCATCCCAACTACCAAGCCCAGCCTGCCCCGCGCTTCCCACCCGCGCCGGTGGCGGCAGGTGCAGGTGGCCGTGCTGCCTCCTGGAGTTTGCAGTCTCCCCAGCGTTCCGTTGTGTCCGTGCTTACAGTTTGTAGGGAACCTCGTAACAGGGCGGTGTGTGTTTGGGCGCGTGCTTTTGTTTGGATGTCTTTTCACGCACCATGGAACTCAACTAGTACCAGGAGAAAAGACGGGAGATGTGGGCCTGTTTGTTATGCAGCAGAGGGAATACATCGGGAAGAAGATTTAGCCAGAAGCAGTTTTACACTTTGAATGCCTTCGGCGACTTATGTCTTGGTTTCCTAAGTCCACCTAGGTCGGTTTTGCAATCAGAGACCCCAAGTCTGGTTTCTTGGAGCTTGCATCAGTGCGTTGCATCATCCCCAAGTGGAAGATTTTCGATGCGAGGAAAAATACGATCCAGCGTTTCTCAAGCGGGAAAGGACATGCCCGCAAGCCAGGAAGCTAAACACCGCAGAACAGGTTTGCTGGGTCTCGGAGACCCGAGCAGGAACCTGATGAGGAAGTCCGGTTTCCAGTCTTTTTTACTTGTGGAGGAGAAAGGCGAATCTGTGGCCAGTGGGACACCGCCCGCCGTTGGAGCGGCCGACCTCACCCATCAATGACTCGCGCTTGAATGTGAAGTGCAGCGGTTCTGGGAGGAAGGGCTGGGCTGGACGGCGGACGCGAGCAGCAACCGTCCTCCCGAACCTGTCCCCTCCCCGCTCTCTTGGCCACCTTGTCCGGCGCTGTGTCGGGACCCGGACACCCAGAACCGGTGGACACCCGCTCTCGCACCCTTCTACGTGATCTGCACCTTTAAACTCACTCCGTCCCGAACCGGACCCGGGAGGCGCCTCCCACATCCGTCTAACATCACTTCCTTCCGAGTTACAAAAAAAAAAAAAACAAAAAAATCTAGGAACGTGAGGGGTTGGGCTGAGCCGCGCGCGGGGACGGTGCGAACCTTGTGCTGGGACTCGGCGGTGCGTCGCTCAGCCCGGTGGTCCCGCGCAACGACTGCGGTGGAGATGCGGCCTCGCCTCGGGGCCACCTGTTTGCTGGGCTTCAGTTTCCTGCTCCTCGTCACCTCCTCTGATGGACATAGTGGGCTTGGAAAGGGTCAGATCGCGTTCTTATCTTACTTCTACTGATCCTAGGCCCTAGCCCAGTATAACCCCGTGTAACTCTCTCTCTGCCCTAACACTGCGCCCCTTCCTTTCTCTCTCTCTTAGGCGACGCCAGATTTCCTTCTTTTCTTTCTTGTCGGAGGTCTCACTCTCACCCAGGCTAGAGGGCACGATCATGGCTTACTGCAGCCTCGACCTCCTGGGCTCAGGCGATCCGCGATCCTTCCGCCTCAGCCTCCCGGGTGGCTGGAATTGCAGGCGCGCACCACCATGCCGGGCTGATTTTTTTTTTTTTTTTGTCTTTTAGAGATTAGGTCTCGCTATGTTGCCCCAGGCTGGTCTCAAACTCTTGGGCTCAAGCAGTCCTCCCGCCTCAGCCTCCCAAAGTGCTGGGATTAAGGGCGTGAGCCACTGCGTCCAGCTTCCAGATTTCTTTTTATCTTCCCCAACTGCTCCTGGAGTTTGGAGATTGCTTGGGGTAGGGAGTAGCAGGTCCAGGGAAGGTTAAGATAGGGAAGTTGTATTTGGGTCCTCTCTAAATTCTTGCTTTGGGGGAAGGAATGGGTCGTAAATTAGGAAAAGCATTAAGAGCGCGGGATAGTACCTAACACTTGGTAGTGGTTTTGTTTTGTTTTGTTTTTGAGACAGAATCTCACTGTGTCGCCCAGGCTGGAGCGTAGTGGCATGCTCACGGCCACTGTAACCGCGATATGCTGGGCTCAGGTGATCCTTCTGCTTCAGCCTTCCAAGTAGCTGGAACCACAGGCATGCGCCACCATGCCAGTTAATTTTTTGTTTTGTTGTAGAGAGGAGATCTCGCCAAGTCGCCCAGGCTGGTCTCGAATACGTGAGCTCAGGCAATCCTCGCGCCTCAGCGTCCGAAGGTGTTGGGATTACAGGCATGAACCACTTGGTAGTTTTTCAGGAAGGGTTACTTTCCCTCCTGGGAGAAATCGGGTCTTTGGACCAGCATATTCACAGATCCCTGCCTTGTCCTGCCCTGCCCTGGGTCTGAAGGTTCCTCTCCTCTTCCCTGAAGGGCTAGGTTACTACTGCTCCCTCCTTACCCTTGGGAGGCTGCTCTTGAATGGGGGGGGGCGCGTGGGGGGCCTGCCATGTGCGTAAGAAAGGGCCAGGTGGAGGGTAGAATCTGCTAGAAGCTCCCAGCAGTTGTCTTTGCTGTGTTCAGCCAATGTGTTTAAAGAAATGAAAGCTTTTTGTGGAGCTAGGGACCATGGTTAGGAAGGGTGGTTAGATGTGACCCCACCACTTCATTCAATGCCTACATCTTCATTCTTAGTTTTAACACTTTTCTCTTCACCAACTCTTTCTTGGTTGAAAGTTGGATTGACTGTGAACTCAGGATTTGTTTTTCTAAGTATGTGACTTGTGGCATGGATCTTACCCCTTCCTTGTTTTGTTTGTGTGTGTCGGACCTAATTTTCTGGAATGACTGTTGCAGCCCTGCTGGGTTTTTTTTTTTCCTCTATCCTCCCTATTTGCACATATATTGGTGAGTAATGCAATTGGGTGGGCATTAATTGTGCCTGAATGTAATCACTCCATTCAGTAAATAGTTTTTGGTCTCCTACCATATTTTACGCACTGTTCTAGGCACTAGGGATATAGCTGTGGAAAGGACAGACAAGGTTGCCTGCTCTCATGGAGCTTATATTCAAGCCAGAGGGAAGAGTAAACTCATGAACAAAGTAAAAAGACAATTTCAGGTAGAGATAAGTGCTGGGAAGAAAATGAGAAATGTGATGGAGCAGAAAGTAGAAAGGCGGGTGGTGGGGGAGATGGGGGAGCTGGCATCTCTTGAGTTAGGAAGGTCAGGGAAAGCTTTTGTGAGAAAGTGATATGTGCGTTTCCACCTTAGTGATGAAACGGCATGATGAATCCTATTAGACCAGAATGTTAATAAAACAGGCTACTGTGTGTTTAGAGTAAAAACTTAAGTACTGAAGGAAAGTGGGTTTAGATCTGAGTTTGACTTTGTTCTGCCACTGACCAACTGAGTAGCCTTGGGAAAGTTTCTTAACCTCTCAAAGCCTCAGTTCCTCATTTGCAAAAACGGGCATAATAATAACTACCTGAGACACTCAACAAATAAATGACTCTGTTCCAGTTACTGTATTAGGTGTAGGTAGTACCTTGGAGTCAGGTATTTAGTATCTTCGTTCCATGTTAGACATTGAACTCTGTGTGACTGTTCCAGTTACCATTACCACATAATAACCCACCCCAAAATTTAGTGGTATAAAGTCATTTTATTATGCTTACGAATCTGTGGGTCAGGAA